AAATGATTTTTTCCGCTCTCATACGCCCTCAATAGCACGCGTGATATTGGAACGAAATTTCATGTTTCAATTGATTTAAGAAGCTCATTTGATATTGCAAGACTATTCACAACGTGCAAAAATCAAGCTGAGAGTTGACTCGACACAAAAATGATTCCGTTGCACATCGTTTTCTTCGGAAGAGAAAGTATAGCTTGCTATCTCTTTTTACTCTTCACCGATGACAGACATGAAGTGACTGCTGCCAGCCGTTATGGAAGTTTCGGTTGCGTTCGGGTGTAAAGTAGAAATCATGAAACTCAATCTCACCACAGTTTGGTGAGATTTGCAGCTGGTGTGTTTTGTTAGCTTGATATTCTGAGTTGCGATATCACAGCTTGTAGTATCAACCGCAGTTGTTTGTTTGATGATTTTTGTGTACGAAAGTCAAGCGTGGTCTTGAGCATTGGTGAGATTTAATTTTTTTTTTTTGTATTTTCCCAATACTGCTTCGCTGACCTCTCTGCGATTTCCAAGTACGAGGTGACCTTTCAACGGCTAGCAAACCCATCGACTTCGTCCGTAAGCAGTTTTCGAGTTTCTCCGGACACGGACAACCTTAGTTTTATTCAGACCCTTTCGTCGGAGGTTCTGGTCCACCCCTGGATCCAGGGCATCCTGAAGGTTGCGCCACCAAACTTTACCTACGCATGGATTCCTGGACACTGTGGGATCCCAGGGAACATCGAGGCGGACAACCTAGTCTGGTCAGGCCCATCTGGTTCTCAGTACTCGCACAAGGTGTCGTTGCAGGACGTGAAGAGATGGATCACTTGCACAGTGCGGACAGCGTGGGCAACGGAATGGTCCAGTGCCAGACTTCCGTTTATTAGAAAAATTAAAGGCGACATCGGAAAGTGGACGGACCTTGCAAACCTGCGAGACAAGAGGATTTTTTCCAGACTCCAGACAGGACACTCCCTAATCTCACGGGATTTCAGCGGAGGACCCTTCAGGAAGACCTGTGCATTCTGCCATATTCCTTCGAAGGTGGAGCACTTGTTATGCATATGTCCACAATTCGAGCATCTTCGTTGCCTCCACGGTCTGCCTGCCAGCGTACGGAACACGCTAGCAGACGTGCCCTCAACTCAAGCAGCTGTACTGCGCTTTTTGAAGGTGGCGAAGATATACTGCAGGATTTAGCACCTTCGATCCCTTCGGCCGGCAGGATATCCCCATTAGGTCCTAAGTAACATTGATCGATTCTCTTCGTCGACTTTCTCTTTCGTTAATGACTTGAGAACATGACCATTTCTTGTTGTGTTTGTCGTATAAGATGCAAGGAAAAAGCTTCTTTTACCGATGTGTGTGACGTGATTCGAATTACTGAACGAATTACTGATATCCTGAAGGTACTTGAAATAATTTCTGAGCAACCTGGTGTCAGAAAAGATATATATGAGAAACGTGACTTGAATTGTTGGACACTCCTAAATCTTCATCTTCATAATACCTGTTCCTCGTTGTTCATCCTTAAGATTTGAGAAAATATCTTGAGGACGTTCTTAAGATCTTAGACATCCTGATGCTTTTTGGAATAATATCTGAGCAACCCGGTGTCATGGCAGAACATTCCAAAGACATAATTTGAAAGGTTTCACAGTTCAAAAATATCCAGAGCACTTTCTTAAGATCTTTGATATCGTGAATGTTTTTTCGAATTATTTTTGAGCAACCCGGTAGAATAAAAAAAAATCCTATGAGACGAGATTTGAATTGATGAACAGCTGTAAATCTTCAGAATAATACCTGGTCATCTTGAAGCCGTAGGCTGGTTCATCTCATAGGTTTGGACGACTGATTTTCGTATGGTTTTGTTAGTATGTATTAACAATTATGTATAATAGTTAATCAAGACAAACAAATTAATTTTACTCTACTATCTTTAAGGAAGTCCAGAGAACACTAATTTAAAAGGTGTCCCACATCAAATTGCATCACGGAAAAAACGCTATAGAAAATTACTTAGTTGACCAATCCTTTTCAAACTTTCAGACAATAAAAAATAACCCATTAGTAAGCTTTTGGCATATTTATTTCATTAAACTTCAATACCATAACCGTACGCTCGCACCTTACACTTAACTCTTTAGGGTCTGTACAACGTCTGGCTGCAGCTTCTTCTGTACGGTTCATGTCTTTGGATACGAAAGCGACCCCGTTGGCTTCGGACCACTCCAGGACAACATTTGAATAGGGACGCGAAGCTAGATCCAGCCAGAAGATCGTAGGGCCCTCGTGTTGCTTTAACAGAGGAAGCAGACGCTTCTGTAGACACTCATTGAGGTAGATCTCCCCGTTTTCAGTCCCAGTAGTCACAAATGGCGCACTCTGTTTGCCACATGAGCAGATCGCTTACCAAATCATGTAGGGGAGAACAGTACATAACGCACCCCCGGGGTAAGACGCACTTTTTCATTTTATTTTTAGTTTTTCTTGGAAGTTTTAATCCAATTCTAGGATTTATCATGCAGGATTTTGAGTTCAGGTGCTATGCTAGAAGTGCTGCTTGATAAGACAACAAAAAAGTTACGCAAAAGCCATGAAAAACACAAATGAAAGTCAGCTGGTGCGTTCTGCCCAGGGGGTGCGTTGAATACCATTCTCCCCTAGGGGAAAAGTTGGCTTCGGCAATACCTTAACCTATTATCGTCCTTGAGAGCTCAATTTTGGCATGTGGATACATTGTGTTTCAGAGCAACTATTGGCCAAATTTGAGTGCTCTAGGGCTTTGTTTACCCCCCTGACGATAATAGGTTAAGGTATTGCCAAAGCCAACTTTTCCCCTATTTCTTGGCAAACTTTGAAAGTTTCTGCTTCCTTATTTCCTCCGGAACATCAAACTTGTGCTGGGCGGTGAAGAACAGTAGGAAGCTGCCGGAAGTCCGCCTTGACGTAAGTCTCATCATCCATGATGAGACAATAAAGGCCGGCGCACAATGGATACGTTTTCGGGTTTTTTGACAGTTAGCCCTTGCATTATCTGTCAAAAAACCCGAAAACGTATGCATTGTGTGCCAGCCTTAAGGCTTAGTCAGGGTCTAGGTGTACAGTTTCCGGGCCGTATTTTGCCGTTCGTCACAATGGAGCCTTCTACACTTTATACGTATGCACTCCCTCCTGGTCCTTGGCTCTCTGAACGAAAGGCTTGGACAGATTCAAGTTTTTGGCCACATCCCTGACCGAAACATTGGGATTCCGCTTAAACGCTTTCACGACGCGCTTGTGATCCTGATCACTAATAGAACATCCATTCTGACCGCATTTCTCCTTCCGTTCGATGCCCAGAGTTTCGTAATAACGTTTAATCACACGACTCACCGTTGACTGCATGATTCCGAGGTCCCGATGAGAGAGTTGAGGATTTTCCAGGTGCTTGCGTAAGATCAATTCGCAGCGTTGCTTTTCGGGTGACGCCATTTTTTCCAACTTTTGAAAAACTGACAGCGATAAAAATACAGTGTAAACAATACACTCTAAACTACTTCTACCCAAATTTTCAGGAGAAAATACCCAAATCGGTAATTTTCTTCAGCGTTGTTTCCGTGATGTAATGTGAAGTGGGTCACCAATTGGGTTCTTTAAGGGAATTGAGGTAAATGCATATTCGTATTCTGCATTAAAAATGGAACCCAAACCCAAAATTTCATCAATTTTGGTACACTGGAACTATTTTAAATAAGTACGATTACATTTGCAAAAATCACCTTATTAGCGCCCCTCGGTGTCACTTTGTATGGGAGCGAGCTGTCAGTTTGTTAGTTTAGTGTCAAACAGTGAAGTTATGATTTTGCTTTAAATCTTGATTTAAAAATCGAGATGAAAGTGTGTGGGTTCGAAAAAAATATCGCTGTGCTCCGAAAACGAAGTTCTTTCAGATGATGTATAAAAAACGATACATTTTTCAAAATTAAAGAACCCAATTAGAACGAGGGGGGCGACACATCTAAATCTCAAGTTTAGATGGTCAACAAATCTCACACTAGCGAATCAATCTTCGAACAATCTTCTTTCATTTGTCGCATCTACTTGCATCGCTCATCAATTTTTTGCAGGAAATCTTCAGAATCGTCATCAATCTTCTTTCTATCTACTCAGCCTGCGTGCAGCTAGCCACAGCAAAACACAATCTTTTTTGCATCGTAGATAGAGTCGTCCCCCTCGAATTAGAAGCCAAATATAGCTTACTCGGATCGTGGAAGGGAATCTTCTTTTGCACTGTAGGCTTTGGGGGGTGTCCACGGCGGTGGTCAACATATTTCCCACTAAATGCGGATCACGTTCGGGGTGAACAAGTCCCATATGGATTTTTGTGAGAAAAGAGTTATCCATTAGAATCGATTGTAAACTACCGAGATTTAAAACTGAGCACTAAAAGGTACATGTTTTGTTTATAAAATATCGTGAAAAATATCAAAATTATGTTGTCCCATCCGTCCCACTGACAAATTAATTGTCAACAGCGTTTTTCTCGGCTTGCTGTTTTTCCAGGTGGGACTGATATGCTTTAATGGACAGTTCTGGTCATGACAAAAAAAAGTAATGAGATTTTGAAGAAAACCTCTATTGTCGTTTTTACATCCGAAGTATCTCTGTAAAAATTGCGTTCGATCTTTCATTGAAAATTAGATTTGCCAGCCCTGATCAAGACACCTGCAGAAAAAGTGCTGACCAGCATGGATAAACTCTCCCAGCAAGAATCGTTCGTATTTCGGCAATATATCCAGTTCTCATTAATGATGTCCTTTGCATGAGTGATCGTCTCAACTACACAGCAAAACCGTACAAATTGCCGTCGATGATTATAAAGAAAATATGCATATTGTCATAAATTTGTATTTTTCCACCCATGATGAAAATCTGCCGCCTTTGAGCAATCTTCGATCTTACAGCTTCAAAGGCATCAACATATATACGATCTACATAACCTCACTACAACCCTCTTCTCTATATTACAGACTCCTCTGCGAGCCAGTCAACCAGGACCCCTCGTTCCACCTCGAATACCGCGGACCCGTGGTAATGAAAGGCAAACCGGAACCGATGGACTGCTGGTTCGTCACCCGGGAGATACCCAACAGCAATGGGCAACCACCGCCACCGGGGAGCACCCCATCACCCACGGGCACCAAAAAGTAGAAACCCCATTTTTCCCGTTTGCCACCTTTCGGCACAGCCATCTTAGTGCGAATATGAGATAACCGAAAACAAAACAAAATCCTAACAAAGTAAACCAAACAAAATACAGTGAGATTTAACTAAGATTCGATTACTTGCAAGAATCCAAATCCGTAGTGAGAACTAGTAGCTCGAGTAGATTATTTCTATTGAAAAGTAAGACCGAACAGTAGCCAAACAAAAATACAAAGAGAAGAATATTTATCTAACAAAACAAAAACTTTCAAACCAAGCCAAACATGACGAAAAATAATTGCTTTGCGAAAAAACAGAAAATACGCGATTAGATGTTGTAATTCACCTATTAAACAAATCGAGTAAAGTAAACCAAAAAAAAAATCAAAGTAGAACAAACAGAAAAACTGTAGATTCTTCAATTTAAAAATTGAACCCTGATCAAAGCCATTTCTAAACTTGTAGATGCGAATGAGGCAAGACACCGTTGTTACCTAAAGCTTTGTCCTATTAGTAGACCTGTTTTGTATTGTTTTTTAATTGACGGATATTTTTGTAACATGAAAGTTAGATTTTTACGGCAAACCAGCGGATGACTCTTTCCTAACAAACCTACCGCAGGCGATGAGATGATATTAGATGGATTATTTTGTTGTTGAAAGTATTATCGTTGAAATGAGATATGTTGTCCTAACCGGGCTGAAGGGGTGGTTAGATTAAATCGACGGAGCCCGTACTTACTTACTACTTTGGCCAACAAATAAGTAACTACATAAACACACAAAATAAGAAATAATCAAAACATGAATGGATACATCTATCTAGCAGTGAACTTTGCGTGTCATTTGAAACAGTGGAAAACAGTGTTGGATCGGTAAGAAGCGGATTAAACAAGCCCACAACAGCTCGAATACATATGATGTGAACCAAGCCAAACGGGGGCACTTGTTGTTTTTATTTTCATGAGAAAGCCCTGGTAGGGAAAGGTACAATGTATTCTTTTTATTCCAAATTCAATTTAAATTACATTTCATTTTAACCTAGGTGCTCCAGCTACTACAGTAACTTACCAGACATAATTCTTATGATATATATCTAAGTGTTTTTACATTTTTCCTGTCTTGGCAATTCAGTATTTAAAACAGGTTTTCTAAACCTGCATGTCAGTATAACAATTGACGTCTTAAAACTAACACTAAATCTTATCTAAGTATAAAGGGAATTGAGGATTGCAACGACTTTTGCCTGAAATTATTGATTATTTTGTTGGAAATTCGATCTAAAGTCTCAACATTCGAAATGTTATGTACCTCGGTAGTACTGTACCAGGGAGGCAACTTGAACATCATCTTCAGAACTTTGTTCTGAATCCTTTGAAGTGCTTTTTTCCTGGTAGTGCAACAACTAGACCATATTGGCACAGCGTAAAGCATGGCCGGTCTAAAAACTTGTTTAAATATTAGAAGTTTATTCATCAGGCAAAGTTTGGATTACTTGTTTATAAGAGGATCCATTTATTACATTTGACTTGAATGCCCTCAATGTGATCTTGAAAAGTTAATTTTTGGTCAAGTACTAACCCAAGATATTTCACTTGACATGACCAGGAAATTGGAACTCCGTTCATAGTGACTTTGTGACTACTACTAGGTTTCAAAAAGGAAGCTCTAGGCTTATAAAGAAATATTATAAGTTGAGTTTTGGAAGCGTTGGGAGAAATCTTCCATTTCTGTAAGGAAGAAGAGAAAATACCTAAAATTTTCTGCAGTCTGATACAAATAACACGAAGACTTCTTCTTTTAGCAGAAATGCCTGTGTCATCGGTGAACAAAGATTTGTGGCAACCCTGAGGCAAATCAGGGAGGTCCGAAGTGAAAATGTTATACAATAAAGGCCCAAGAATGCTATCCTGAGGAACTCCTGCTCCTGCTCCATTCAGCACGAACCACCTTTGAGTTCGGACGCGCGTTCACAGCGTTCTTGTATATATTTTACCATTCAAACTTTATTTTATTTATCATACCTTTTAATAACTGACCCGTGCGCGAGACCCACGTTAGCATTTTCAAGTAGCAAATTTTTATTTTTTTTTATCACCCGACGCGAGTGCAATGAAGTGCGTGCAAAATGACAATCGTTTCCTATGGCGCTGCCATGGTGCCTGCAATCGGACTTTCCACGCAGCTTGCGTAGGCGCACAGCGGAATCATGAAGAAAATTTGCGGACCTTCATGCTGCCTCTTTGCCAAGACTGTCAGGAAAAGTTTACCGCTGAACTTAACATGAAGGAGCTGTCCAAGTCTTTCCAAAATATCACGGAAAACATCGGACATACATTGGCAGCAAACCACAAACTCCTCATGAATTTCAAAAGCCTAAGCGCGACTCATGACGAAACGCTCGACCACATTGAGAAAATGCTTGTCGACGTAAAACAAGCCATTTCCAACCTCGCCAGCAGCAGCAAGACTAGTTCCACTGAAATAAAAAGTAAACTGTCAGCACTTTTGGGCACACCTCCAGCAGACGCCTGTATCGCTGTAGAAAAGGTGGTCAACTCGGCAGCAACAGCAGCAGTAGAAGCCATCACATCAACAACAACAGCAACAGTGCACTCAATTGACCTAATTCCACAATTAATTATGGAAATTAAGAACGACTTAGCTTCCGATGTAAAAGCACATATGGAAGAAATGACAAAAACCTTTTCTGAAGCAGCACATACTGGCAATCCAATTGCATGTAACAATATAGAAATTGAACTGCAGAACGTCGGTGACGAACCAGCTCCCAGCTGGCGAATGCTAGGAAATAAAAAAATATGGAAACGCGACTGGACTGCATTTGACACCAAACGGCGTTCCCGTCGCCTTCAGGAAAAAGAAAAGGAAAAAGCCAGACGTAGGCGAAAGCAACGAAAGGAACATCACCAGGAAAATTCATATCAGTACAACAACAAGAACAAAACAGACAACTACAACAATACCAACAACAGCAATAATAACACTACCAACACCAACAACAACAACAACAACAACAACAACAACAACAACAACAACAACAACAACAACAACAACAACAAAAACAAAAACAAAAACAACAACAACAACAACAACAACAACAACAACAACAACAACAACAACAACAACAACAGCAACAACAACAACAGCAATACCAACAATCATAGCAATGGAATAAGAACGTCGACACTTATTAACTCCACACATGCACATACGGCATTACCTCTGGACAAAGAGCTTTTGGCTGCTGCACGTATACAATTTTCTCGTCCACCAAGCACAGACAATGGACTAAAATTCATTAACAATTCATTAAAAGGGGAAACTATTCACCCTTATCGCGCCGAAAGGCCAACTGGACATGAACACCCTCCAATCCTGGACCCAATGCGTCCGCCTATAGTCAGACTCACGGAACAGTCTGCAATTGGCGACCGACGCTTTTTGAAGGCACGGCTGCGGGACCCCAAAATTATGGACATTGTGCGGACTTATCTTTAATACTTGCACGACCAGCCACCTTCAGTATGCATTCGCGGAATCATTAAAACTAGTGCAACTTTAATGCTGGCAGCAGAAGGACTACCAACGGAAACAGCCCTTTTACGCGAAATTTTCCTGGACGTTCACGAAGAACTCGGAATTCCACGCACCGACGCTTTGGCAGACCTGAATTCACACCGCGCGTTCCTACTTAGTGAACTTAGTAACGACGACTATTCCCATGCATGGGAATTATTATTATCGAATGACGACACTCAACATGAGGTAGACCCTGCTAATGTAAGTAATACTGACCCTCCAAAAATCTCTTCACTTCCTCAACAGAATGCGACTGAAATTTTGGTGTATGGCCAAAATTTCAACCGCATGAAAAGCCCAGCTAAAATGAAAGATATCCACCAGAACATTCTATCTTCTTCTTTTCAAATAATTCTTGGAACTGAAACAAGCTGGGACGAAAGCGTCAGAAGCGAAGAAATTTTTGGAAACAATTTTAATGTATTCCGGCACGACAGGAATTTTCACCTCTGTAATAAAAAAGTCTGGTGGTGGAGTGCTCATTGCCATCAATGCTGACTTTACTTCTGAAGAAATCATAACAAATAAGCACAAGGAATTCGAAAATGTCTGTGTCAAAGCACTTATTGCCGGTGAAATACACATTTTTTCTTCTGTGTATTTTCCACCTAAACATGCCCACAAGCAGTCTTTTGAACTATTCTTTCAAATTGTTGAAACTATAATGTCAAATATGGAACCAGAAGTAAAACTGCATATTTATGGCGACTTCAATCAACGAAACGCAGACTTTATTACAGACATTGAAAATTAATCATTTTTACTCCCGGTCGTAGGTGAAGATGATACATTACAATTATTATTCGACAAAATATCTTATTTTGGTCTTAATCAAATAAACCATGTAAAAAATCAACAAAACTCATATTTAGACCTTTTATTTACAAATTGTACTGAAGACTTCTGTGTGGATACATCATTAGCACCTTTATGGAAAAATGAAGTGTTTCACACAGCAATTGAATACTCAATATTCATACAAAATTCTTCTTCCTCCAGCGACTGGGAGTACGAGGAAGTGCAGGAATACCATAAAGTAAATTACGAAGAAGCCAAACGTAGACTATGTACAATAAATTGGCAAAATTTAATAAGTATTGAAGGAAATGTCGATACTGAAGTAGAAAAATTTCACTAAATTCTTCAAAGCCTAATTTTAGAAACTGTACCATAAAAAAAAAGAAGACGAACACAAAACAATAAACTACTCGCATGGTTAAATCCACAACTGAAAAATTTAAAGAATAAAAAACAGAAAGCTCATAGACTATACAAAAAAGAAAAAAACTGTAACCAATTTGCGAAACTATCACAACTTATGCAACCAATTAAATACAGCCATCAACTCTGCATATGAGGATTATAACCGCAAAGTCGAAAATGAAGTCAAATCATGTCCTAAGAACTTTTTTAATTATGTAAACACGAAATTAAAAAGCAGCCATTTTCCTTCGCGAGTGAATTTGGATGCAAATGTAGGTGAGAATTCTTCTGAAATTTGCAATCTCTTTGCAAATTTCTTCCAAGAAGTATACACCACATTTTCCGAAGAAGATCGTGACCGCAATTACTTTGCATTCATTCCTGAAATTTTTAAAAACATCTCTGTCAACCAACTTTCTCAACATGAAGTCCTCAATGCACTAAAAAACTTAAACGCGTCGAAAGGGTCTGGACCTGACGGCATCGCACCCATATTTTTGAAAAACCTTTCTGAAGAACTCGCATTTCCTCTAGAGCGTCTTTTCAACATGTCTCTGAAAAATAGAAAATTCCCATCATCTTATTTGGTACCTATTTTCAAATCAGGTGCAAAATCAGACATTCAAAATTATCGTGGAATTGCTATTATTTCTTGCATTCCAAAACTTTTTGAATCAATCGTAAGCGGCAATATTTTTCAGCAGGTGAAAAATCTAATTACAAGAAAACAGCACGGCTTTTTTAAAGGTCGCTCAACTACCTCTAATCGTCTAGAATATGTATCTTTCATTATTAAAGCGTTGGACAGTGGCAAGCACGTTGAAGCGCTATACACCGACTTCAGTAAAGCATTTGACCGCATCGACATACCATTATTAATCCTCAAATTGCAGAAAATAGGAATGGAGCCTGGACTTTTGAATTGGTTTCAATCATACCTAACACATCGTAAACAAATAGTTCGCTTTCAAAATAAACTTTCAGATCCAATTTCAGTCACCTCTGGGGTACCCCAGGGTTCTCATTTTGGCCCACTTCTTTTTATTTTGTACATAAACGACATTTCCTACATACTTAAAAAAATAAAATTGCTTGTATATGCAGACGACATGAAGCTCTTTATGG